TTGCTAAGTCAAAACAGTACTTAGTATTTTTTAGTTTATTATTTTCAGTATTTATTTATTTTGCTTTGTAGCGCAGCCCATTAAGGATTGGTGGCCAGTAGGTTATCTGATCTTTTTAGTATTTAAGAGTTTTTGGCAATTTGAAATAAGAAAAGCTTTTGTTTTCTTAAGGTGTAATTCGTTTGTTAGTGTGTTTGTAGATTCGATCTACATCAGTTTGTCAAAAGTTCTAATCAATAAAGTCATAATTGCATATATGGGATAACATTATGGTAATATAATAGTATCAAAAGCAATGATTCGAGAATAACTATGGTGATGATAATTTGTCTGATGATCAAATTAGCATTGTATAATGACTAACTTGCACTATTCATCAAAATTCTTCCATATAAAAGGCATTTTGCTTTCTCTCTCTTCATTCAACTTCCTTTCTGCATTTTCTCTCAGTTTTCTAATATGTCCTTCTCAATTTTGCTGCTGCTCGTTTCTTACTTTATTTTTATGTAGCTGATATTATTCTTCATTTACTTCAATTTACTTTACATACTTCGATTTTTTATTTTATTATGATTTTCTTTAGTTTGTCACAATTTTAGTGATTCCTGATTCTGTCAGTTTTTAAAAGCTCATACCCATAAAATATATATATATATATATGAAAATGAAATTGGCGTAGAAATCCCCTCTTCTTGCTCTTCTTTGTCTTTGACTATTTGTTGATTACCGTGATTAATTCTTTGTCTTCAACGTATTTGCTGATGATCGTGATTGACATTAAAGGTAGATTTCTACTCATTGTTGTTTTATTTTTTTGGTTTTTTATTTTATTTTTTATTTTTTTGCAACTTGCTTTCGATTTTTTCATTTTTGTTTAGTTTTATGTTTTCGTTCTTCCATGTCTTTCGTTAGGTATACACAAATCTTTCAGGAGGATTTTGTTTTGTATTATCTATGGCATTATAAAAAGGTAAGTTTAAAATTTATTTTTTTGCTTGATAAAAGATAGGCTTAAAAGTTTATACACAAGATGATAAAAATTGTACAGAGAGCATGGAAAGAAGAATGGAGAGAAATCGAGAGAAGAGAGAAGAAGAAAGAAAAAGAAGAGTTGAGAGACAGAGGATATCGTGAAAAACAAAATAAAAGACAAGAATAAGGAGGATGAAGAAAAGAAGAGGACTGAGGAAGGAAAATGAAACACTAACAATGTTGAAGATTGGAACCATTTTATCTTTGTTCTTAGAATAATATAATAAGTTAATGCTTTTAGAAAATTTTAGGGTTATAATGAAAAATGAATACTTCTTTACTATACCTTCTCAAGTCAATGCGAGTGAATGGTTGTGTTAGCAAGAGTATTAACCATTCAGAATGATAAAATGTTGGCTCTAGAGAAAAAAAAAAAAGTCTGATGGTGTCTCTGTGCGCGCATGGAGATGGTGTCTCTGTCCTTCTCCGTGCAACAGAGGCACGCCCATGTCTCAACACGAAGACACCGTGTCTCCACGCACTGCATACAATTTTTTATATATATATACAACTCTCGATAGTTTTGGATACAAGTTTTCCTTTTTTTTTTTCAAATTGACTCTTCTTTTTCTTGTTATTAAATTTAGGCAATAACATTTGCTTACATTTTACACTAACTAAATACAATTTCACTTATTAATTATTTGATATGTACTGTTCAATGGGCATGTCGGTCCTCGCAAAAAAATTTCCAGAAATATTTGTTACACTCATTTGATTCGTACTAAAGAACACAGTGTCCGTTTTGGGCCCATGATTCCATTCCGGAAAGCTCGAGACGATTCTCATTGAACTCACCGCTTTGCCGTGATGTATGAGGGATTTTTGACATTTGAATTCGTTTGTTAAGTCAAAACGGCACTTAACGTTTCTTAGTTCATTATTTTCAGGTAAATCATTGTATACTATCTTGTAAATTACTGCTCTTTGTTCAAATTTTGGATTAACCATTGCATCTTTACGAAACATTAATTTTTTTTTTATACAAATGTGTTTATTAAAAATTTTTAATACAATTTTCTATCAATTCTTAACATTCAAGACTTTAACATTACCTTCAAAATAATACAATTTGTGCATTGCACGGGGCAAAAACCCGTATATATAAAAGAAAATAAGGATGTTAATAACTTTTTCATAATAAAATAAAATAATTATTTAAAGAGAGTTTTAGAAGGTCCCCACGTACGGAAATATGAAGCCTAAAATTAGGATATTTTCAATCTCGCTTTCCACATTTCTAATCATTAACAAAGCTATTGCAATGGCAATACAGGAGAAATTATAGAGAAGTATCCGAATTAAATATCCTAAAATTACTATAAGGCATTTGTTTTCAATCAAACGAAGGACATGATTAGAAAGTGATAAATTGCGTGTAGATATATAGAAGGTCCCACGTAAAATATAAAATCTAAAGTAGAAAGAATAGAAGCGTTTCAACACAGTATTGCGTCTCGTTTAATGGACAAGCCAAGAGAAATAATCGATTTGAATGTTTTAAGAATACTATTAAACATTTGTAAATTGTCGAACGTGATTAGTTGAGTAGGAGAAAAGGCGAAAGAAATTAATTATTTGAGATTGGTAAGTATTCACTAAGATCTTATATGGTGCCACATGTAATCAATAAGTGATATTTTCGAATCGACGAATCCACTATTGAAAAGTTGACAGGCAAAGAGGTAGGAGATAGAACGCAATAGCATTTGCTGATGACAGCTGATAGGGGCTCTTAAGAACCCTAAATGACACTTGTCATTACCTAAACTTAGGTCATGACAAATTTGTGCACTCATAGGGCAATTAGTGGAATGATAAACTAGGGTTATGATTTGACGGCATTTTTACAAATAAATACTATAATAAGTGACAAATGGGGTGTTTAAAGAAACTGCCAAAGCTGAAAGGAAGTGCGTTTTGTTGCAATGTCACCTGATGATATGGATCCACTACAAGATTTTATTCGGAAAATGTTAAAATCATTTACGACATGATATATGGAGAAATCTTGGTCGTAATTTATTAATTTCAGAGGTTGGATGACGATGAAAGAGGGTCATGTAAATATCTCGAACCCAATAAATTGATACAAAAGGTAGTTAGCACATAATGTCTTCACATTTTACTATTATTATGGATAACGTCTTTACTTTTCATTTTTTAACGTTTTCACCCTTATTTTCACCATTCATGGAGCAAAATGTCATTTTCATTCATTTTCTCAATTAAAAATTGTGAAATGACGAATATATTATTCCCTTTAAATAAAACAAAAGGAAAAAGAAAAAAATTAATTGCAACCATTGTCCCAATTTTAAAAAAAAAACGCAAATGAGTTCCAAATAAATTATTAAAATGGTAATTAACACATAATTTCCATACATTTCACTATTATTGCAAAAAAATCCATACCTTTACGAATGGACCCTCCTATTTAAATAAAAAAAAGTTAAAGAATTAATTGTAATCATAGTTCTAAATTTTTTTAAAAAAAAAGTGCAAAGAGTTCCAATTAAATTTATTTAAAAAATTAAAAAGTGCAAGCGAGTTCTGAATAAATTATTAAAAAATTAGAAATAAAAATATATTTTTTTATTTAAATATGAGGGTTTATTCATTATTTCACAGTTCTTTATTGAGAAATTTGATGAAAATGATGGTTTACACAATCAAATGTGTAATTAAGGGTGACAATACCAAAAAATAAAAGGTAATGACGTTTATCATAATAATGGTGAAAGGTAAGGATATTATGTACTAATTACCATTTTAATAATTTATTTGAGATTCTTTTGCGCTTTTTTAAAAAAAATGGGACTATGGTTGTAATTAGTTTTTCTTTTTCTCTTTATTTAAAAATAATGGTATATTCGTCATTTCACATTTTTAAATGAGAAAATAAATGAAAATGACCTCTTGCGCAATGAAATGTGGAAATATGGGTGAAAATGCCAAAAAATGAAAGGTATGGACATTTTCCACAATAACAATGAAAGGTGGGGACGTTATGTGTTAATTACCTTGAGAAAATTTTAACCAAACAGCTTCGAGAAGCTACTGGCAAATACCCAGGGGTTCAACAAAACAACCAACACGAAGCCAAGTATTTGAGTCCGTTCACCAAAAACCAGCAAGTAGTCGTTAGAGGACCAAAATTATCTCAGGAATCATCACCAGAAAGCCAAGATCCGTAAAAAAAATTGAATCTAGGGTTTCTCCAATAAAATCATATCTAAAAGGATTTGATCGTGAAATTAATTTCCATACCGAGAACCTTTGATCGAAGGACTTGAGAGCCATCAAAAAGGCTCTGATATCGCTNATAATAAATAAATAAAAATAAGTGGTAAATAGTTTGTGGGTCTCTCAAAATGTACGGATAAAAATAAAAACGATTTTAAATAATGTTAAGGGATAGAATCCCATATCGAATAAAGATGAAAATATAGACCAATTTATAAGGGTTTGGGCTACTCCTCTTAACAATGTTGACCTTTTAAAATGGAACTCCAAATCTTAATATGGTATCAGAGCTCGTTAAGTTTTAACGAGCAATTCGATCCGATTAAGACTCCAAAAGTGAGCATACGAATTTCAAAATTGGTCTGCTCAAACGAGCCACCATTTTGCGAGGGTATGTTAAGGGATATAATCCCACATCGAATAAAGATGAAAACATAGACCAATTTATAAGGGTTTAGACTACTCCACTTAACAAGGTTGACTTTTTAAGATGAAACTCCGAATCTTAACAAATAAGTAGGCAAGTTAACTTAAAATTTGTGGAGATTCAAAGTGGCAGCTTCCTATTTGTGTCAATATTTTTACTTTCATACCATGCCACCTGTTGCTCAGTATTCATGCTGCAAAACTTTGGTCCCTCCTCCTCTATATATATGTGTCTGCTTCAATTTGAAAAGTTCAAAGAAATCTAGGTTATCTTTAAGAGAGAGAGACTTGAAGAGATGGCTTTGTTTTCAATGCACAATCCACTGGTTTTTACCTTTGGCATTTTAGGTAAGCACTTCAATACACAACTACCCTCCATTTATGGGAAAATTGCACCATTTGCTCCCAAATTATTGTCTGTCTAGCAAGTTGGTCCCTTTGGAGTAATTGCTCTTCAGCCCTCCATTTTCCTAGAAACTGTCTAAATCTTCTATAAATTTTCAAGTGGCACTCATTAAAGTATATTTCATTTCAATTGGACGTGTCAGGACCACACACTAATTTAATAGAGATTTGGAGGGTTCTGTCATAAGAACTAAATGTGTAAATATAATGATAGATTGAGGACCAACTTACTCATTTTCAAAGCTAGTCGCGGACCAATGGTGTAATTTTTCCTAAAATTATAGTTCATGGTTAATCATCAATTTTCTTGTTGCAGGCAACCTCGTCTCCTTCATGGTATATCTTGCACCTGTGTAAGTTTTCTTAATTATCTATTTCATGTTAATTTTATAATTTAATCGTCTGAAAAATTAACTCTATCGATTCACGTATGCTGCAGACCAACATTTTACAGGGTTTACAAGAAAAAATCAACCGAAGGGTTTCATTCAGTCCCATATGTGATTGCATTATTCAGTTCCATGGTGTGGCTATTTTATGCATGGGATAAAGCCGACGAATTCCTCCTCATCACTATCAATTCCGTCGGATGTATCACGGAGGCTATATATGTTGCTATTTACATCGTTTACGCACATAAGAAAGCACGGGTATGTATTTGTGACACATTCTAGACGTGTTTGGTACATTATACTCAATTCATCAAAGTCGTTAAATAGACGAGCAAACAAAGGAGCCCATCTACTTGTATTGGCCTTGCAGATACTGACTTTGAAGCTTCTGCTGCTATTGAACGTTGGCGGATTCGGGTTGATTATTATTCTCTCCCACTTCCTAACAAACGGGTCGAAACGAGTTCAAGTTCTTGGATGGATATCTGTATCAGTGACCACAAGTGTATATATAGCTCCTCTGAGCATTATGGTATGATCCAATTCATTTGAGAGGCCAAACTAAGAATTGCATGCAACATGATTATATATTTCATGAATGTCACTTGTGCATAAATGCAGAAACAGGTGATTCGAACCAAAAGTGTGGAGTTTATGCCAATCTCATTATCATTTTTCCTCATTTTGTCTGCTGTAATGTGGTTCTCGTACGGTTTGCTGCTAAAGGACATGTATATCGCGGTAATTCGTCCTCCCAACTATAGAAATATGTGTGTTCGTCGAATTAAAAATGTTATTTTTGTCATTAAGAAAATTATTGAACGAGTTTAGTTAATTTAAAAACTCAAGTTTCTTACTCGATGTTTTGGTAAGTTATTTTTTCGATCTCGAACATGCACGACTTTCGTAAAAAAGTGATAGTAATTAGACTTGAAATCAAGATTGTTGTCTCGTTGAATCACATTTCTAAAATGTTAAGCTATTAGAAATAGGAAAATTTGTACAATTAATTCCCAACCTATTGATTAGTATCAAATTAGTGCCCCAACCTTCAAATTATTGCATGTCGGTCCTTAATTTTTTTCTTAAGAGTTGCAAAATGAGTCCCTATTTGTGTTAAATGGTTCTCCTATATCTAATTATGAAGCTAAGTTTCGCTACACAAATTAGATTGCTGCCATGAATATAGTACAATAACTAATCAAATTTTGATTTTAATCATATATTTCATGGGGTCTACGACTTTTATTAACTTTTTAATCACGTATTTCTTCAATTTCTATTAAAAGTTTGGTCAAACAACCCCTTTACATACTAAAGGACAGAAATATCCAATAACGGCCAACTTGCTACAAAAGTGATCGTTTGGGAAGGACTCTTCGCAAATTTATAAGTTGGGATTTATTTTACTACATCTCAAATAGGCTAGGGACCTCAACTGCAATTCAGTTTAATTGTTTTCTAATATTTGATTTTATTTGAACAATATGCAGATTCCTAACATATTGGGACTGATATTTGGGGTACTCCAAATCACATTGTATATGATATACAAGAGAGATGCACAAGATCACAAACTACCTACCCATGTCAACCCTAACATAATAGTCTCTTCTGATCAGATACATCCAGTTTCCACTCTACCCCTACCAATCCCTCAGGAGAATAAAGATGAAAATGCTGATGACGATAAAGTCGAACCCTAGTGGCATGCAAGTTCGACTCAAAGTACTAGATAGTATAATAAATAAGATCTAATTAACTGTTTCTTCTCCTCCACTATCAATCAAGGTTATGCATGTTCGACTCAAAAGTACTGGACAGTATAAACTTAACCGATTGTTCTTCTTGACTCCCTATGAAAGATAGAAGTGCAAATTTCTTTACTCATCAAGTGCATGCACAATCATATGTGAATTAGTTTTCAAGATTTGCTTGTAAATAAGGCCCTTTTGTAGTTTATAAATGTTGTGTTAAAGTTCTTGTATATTAATCTGTTGGAAAATTTTATTTGTACAACCGAAGTTGACAACATCGGTTGACAACATCTCACATGTGTGCGGGGTCCGCGTGTTTAAAAATTTTTTTTAAAAAAAGTGGACCCTCCATGTGAGTGGTTGTCAACCTCGATTGTACAACTAGCATGACTCTAATTTGTTTTACTTCATAATTTTAACACATAATTAGCTCATGTTTATAAACAAAAATTTAAATAAATGGTTGCTTAATACTCAATGGCTTCTTAATAGACATGCACAAATTAAGATTTTTGAGTAAAAATATATAAATACGTTCAATTTAAAATGATGGAATTATTTTTTAGATGGACTACCTAATTAATATTAAATAATTTATAAAGAATGTTAAGAACAATTATTATCTTAGCCTCCGTTTGGTGCACATTTTGAAGGTGAGAATGCATTTTTACTGTTGATGTGATGAGGAATATGTGGTTGAAAAAGAAAGAAAAGTTATTGGTATGATGAAAAATATTGTTTTATTGAAGAATGTGTGGTTGAAAATGAGTAGAAGAATGAAAATGAAAAAAACAATGTGAACCAAACAGGACATTAATGATTTTTTTCGAACCTAAATTGTTCAGCTAGCTCTTTAACCAAGCTGTAAAACTCTCTAATTTTCTTCACAACCAATTGTCTAATGACAAAACAAGACTCGATCCAACTCAAGTTTCATATAGGCATCTATAGACAAGTTAACGTGAATCATATAGTGAGCAAGATCAAGAAAATTGCTCTCGTATTTTAGGAGCACGCGACCAACATGCAGGGGTGGACCTGGGGGTCCTGGACCCCCCAACTTTTGAGATTTTTTTTTTTATAAAATCATGTTTGGTATCAATTGAAATCTAAATTTTAATTCAAATCAAATTTAACAATTAATTTTAATGTCATATTTCATGGAATTTATAACTGTTTTAACTTTTATCAAAATTTACTAAAAATTTGATTTTATATCCACCAAATAGGGGCAAAATCACAAGAAATTTGATTTTTTTTTTTCTTTTCTCTTACTCTCTCTTACTATTTTCCTCTCGCTTTTTAACAAAATCTCGACCCTTCTAATTTTTTAAAATTTATATATAATTTCTCTACAAATTATCACATTTACTACAAATCTTCATTTTCCAATCAAATTTTCAAGTAATTAGAACCTAAATTTGCATTTTCTTTTATCAAACCGTGTATATAGAATGTGTCTAAACTCATTATATCCAATTTGACTTATATTTAATGAATTGTGTTTATTTGATTGATTATTAGTATTGAATATTAGTTATATATTTTTCTTTTCAATTACTTGTATTGATTGTTTGTATCAAATNCCTTTCAATTACTTGAATTGATTGTTTGTATCAAATATACTATAAGATTTCTAAATGTGAATATGCATTTTCTTGTGATAAACAAAACATTAATAAAATGTCTTTTCGAAATCAAATGGATGAAAATGATTAACAAAATATTAATGAAGAAATTTTTTTAAATGTAAATCTGCATTATCTCTAATCAAGTATGAATCATTCAAAAATCAAGAAAAAAATTATTCGACTTGAACATGGTTTGATTGTGCCTCCTAACTTAAAATGTTTGCATCTGCCCCCGCCTACATGAGTCGATTGGGCTTTTTCCACAAAAAAATAGAGAACTCAACATATAATTACTAAGGAAAAAGCTATTTGTACAAAAAGAATTTGACAAAAATGTTGACAAANTTCTTTCTTTAATAAAGTTATTTTTACATAAGGAATTTGTCAAAAATGTTGACAAACACTCACATGATTGCCAGCCCCACATGAATTAAATATTGTATATAATAAGTGGGCCCCCCCACATGTGAGTGTTTGTCAACTTTTTTGTACAACTTTTTTTGTACAAGTAGCAAGGTTCAATTACTAATTAGGTTGTGTAAGCAAAAAAATAAATAAAATTCAAATAACAGAACTTAAATTCGTTGAGCTACTTGTGCTTGGGATGACCTAACATAGAACAATTTTTTAGGTCATCTTAACATAGAGGTGTCAAGACGGACGGGCCATCCAGACCCATGAAAATCGGCCCATGAAAATAGGGACCGCGGGCCGACCCGTGACCCGTGCGGACGGTTCACGGGCCAA